TTGATCTACGCGTTAGAGATCTTATTTATATAGATATTTATAAATTATTATTTATACATAGCTAAACTAATATATATTATTTTATTACTTTTACTGACCATATTTTTTAATACTATTAAATATTCTTATTTAAAGAATATAATAAGATATATAATAAATTTATTATTTTATAAAACTACTTTAAATGCTAGCTAAATATTAATATTAAATATATTTATAATAATAATATATTTAAATACTAACTACTTACAATCTACTATTAAAAATAAGATATTGTTTAGGATTCTATTTTATACTATTATTTAAATTTTAATTTTATTACTAAGATTAAGAATTATTATCTAGTTAAATTTTATATATTAGTTATAGTAGATAACCAGTTGCTCTGTTTCCTGTAAGATTATATTATTTTTATAGTTAATTATATATAGAATAGATTTATATATAGTACTATTAGAAAGACTTTCTATAAAGCCTTATATAGAGTATAACTAGATATTTTATAGTAGAAGGTTCTTAACTGCTATTACTAGTATCTTACTCTTAAAAAAACTAATAATAAGCTTGAGGATTATATATAAAAAATTATTTTATTAAATATTCTAAGTTAATTTATAAGATTTATAATATTTAAATTTATTAGATTGTATACACCCATGATATTATTTTTAATAAAAAATTTATTTTATAATTATTGTTAGTAATATTTATATATAATCTTAATTTTATATACTATAGTAAAGTTAATATAGAAACTCCAGTCTAGAAAGATCTTTATTATTAATTATTATTTAATATATTTTTTTAATATTAGCAGCCTATTCCTATCTTTTTTCTTAGTTATTCTACTATAGATGAGTAGAATAATAATAAAAAACTAGACTAGTTACTAGAATATAAATAAATTAATATATTTTTATTTTTATTTATATTTAATAATACTGTCCGCAACGCTACACTTAAACTAATAGTTATTATTAAAAATAATAAGTCTGGAGACCAGCTAGTTGTTATAAATTTTTTAATTATTAATATTTTTTATATAAAATTTACTATTTCTAATATAGAATTATTACTAATGACTGAATAATTACTATATTATTTTATATATATTTATAAGTCTTCACGCGTCCTCCTCGAGTCTTTAGAGTTATATATTATTAATATAAATAATGATCTAGATATACATACTAATATCTTTTATAAATTATTTATTGATAACTATCTCGCTGGTATTTTATTTTTAGAAATTATAATTATATAGTATCTAACTAGTTTATAGGCTGGGGGGGATACCTCTATTAAAAAACTAATATCTTAAAATACTGGTTATATTTTTATTTTATATATTAATATTATAGCTTGCGTTAAAATATTTAAATAATATAAAATAATATATTATAAAATATAGAAATAGATTAAATAAAATATTTTTTATATAGTTTTATATTCTTATAATACACGTCTTCTTCTACTTAAATAAATATTTAAAATTAAGTATGACAGTATTTATAAAATCTGTTTTATTTATTAAAGACTTCTAGTAGCGTGCTGGTAAAAAAAATTTAAAAAAAAAATATATATATTATTATTATGAATATTAGTTTTAAGATTTTTATTATTCTAGTTACTAAACTTTATTAGATCTTATATTATTTTAATATTATTATAGTTTTTTTTAATATTAAATTATATGAATTAATACACATTAAATTATCAGATAGTTTCTAGGAAAATAATATATATAATAAATTTTTTAAGTTACTATATAACTTAAAATAAGCGCCACGTGAATAATATAATATATTTTATAACTTTCTAGTGGCTAATAACTAAGTATTTATATATAGATTATTCCGTATTTATAAGAAAGAGTTTTTTTATATTTATTTATATTAATAATATCTTTTTACTTATGCTGGATAGTACTATAATTAATATTTTTAAAATACTATTTATTAAATTTATTAAGTTTACTAATAATAGCTCCTGCACCTGCTTTCTAGATATTAATATTATATAAATAAATAAAAATATTTATTTCTTATAGAAATTATATATAAAAGATTATTTAAAGTATTTTAGTCTTTTTATTTGCAAGATTTCTTCTATACTATATAACTTTAAGAATTCTTTATTAAAGTATAATAGAATAGTAGATCCTAATAATATTAAAGTATATCAGGAATATAATAACGCGTTTATTTAAATTATAATTAATATATATCTTAATATTATATATATAATAAATAAGTTATTATTTTTTATAAGTAACCCCACTAAGCTATATCTTTAAATAATAAATCTTATCTAGTGTTATCTTATTAGTTTTTTTAACTATTATTTCTTTTACTATTAGAGCGGACCTAGCCTTGTTAATTTTTATAATATTAATTAAACTAGTTCCTATTTTTTTAACATGATATTAATCTCTAGTTATATATTCTAATTTATTGGGAGGCCTATTTCATGGAGTTTAAAAAAACAAACTATTATTATACTATCTTTAACTAAAAGTGAGTATATCGCGTAAGTAATAATAATATAAAAATTAATTTAATTCTAATTATTATTTATTAAACTAGATATTTAGTGCTTTAAAGCTATATTTATTTTAATAAGTTACTCTATAATTATTTATATAAATAATTAGTCTACTATTACTCTGACTAAAAACCCTGAGTTCTATATTTATATAAAATATGTCTCCATTAAATAGTATTTTATATATTATAAAATACGCGTAAAAATATTAAATTTATTTATATTAATATTATTAAATAAACAGCCAACAGTCTTACTAAATTATTTAAATATTTTGTTTACTCCTACTTTATTAAGTAATTTAGTATAGTAAATTATATTTAAAATCTTATCTAATATTTCTATATTTACATGTCTTTTAATTCTTATTTAAGAAATGTGAATAATCTCACATTTTTCTTCTTTTATATGTAACGGTGCTGACTACGTTCTTACTTATAGAGGGTGTGAAAGGAGATCATATGATCTTAGATCTAGCTATATAGTCACCTTCTCACGTAGTTAGCTAGGCAACAACACACACACACAATATCATCAATATTGCTGTCACAAAATAGTTATATAAAACTTAATAAAATAATTATTTAATAATAATATTTTCAATATTACTTTAAATGAATTAAATAGATGGTAATATTACAGCCTAATTTATATAAAATTTAATGAAATAATATCTTAAATAATATTTTAGGATTTAATTTATTCTTTCTATTTAACTATTAATTTGTGGATAAAATATAGTAGAAAACTTTAAAATTATACAACTATTATAATATAAGTTTAACTAAGATTTACTTATAAATATTAAATTTTAATTAAATATAATTTTGTTAGGGGGTCCGAAGACTAATTTAATTTAGTAATAAAATAATTTAATTAAATCTAAAGCTATTATTATTAATAAAGTAGTAAAGAAAAGATAAAGGTTTAAGAATTAATTAATAATAATAAGAATAGTCTTAATAATCTATTTATATTAAATACTTAAAAATAATTTTATAATAAACTTTATTACTAGTTTTATTAAAAAACAAGAAAAAATTAGTAGGGATTTAAGATTACTATATAATTAATATTTTAAAACTATATTATCTTAACATATTAAATAAGTCTAAATATATTTAATTATATCTTTATATAATCTTTTCTAATAGAATTCTTTATATAGTAAAATTTTTATTTAAATCTTTCTAAAGTATCCCGCTAACTATTTTTTATAATATAAATAAATAAGCATTTAATATAGTGTTTCAGAAGATAGAATATAAAAATAATTTTCAAAATAAATATAACTAGTAGTTTTCATAATCTAGTACTTTTAATCTTATTATCTTTATTAAATAGTAATATTTTATTATTAAATCTCTAGTTTTCATTCTATAAATTTTTAAATTATTTTTAAAACTTAGAATTACATGTATTTAAGTACAAAACTTTTATATTGTATATATATATTACTATAAATTAAAAAAAAGTCTCTTTTAAGATAAATTTTTTTAAATAGTCTAATTAGCTGTCTCTATACTAACTTAACTATTAAAAACTTTTAAACTTAATACTATGAAAGTAGAAAATCTAAGATAAATATATATATATTTTAATTTAAATTAGATTTTTATATTTATTAAGTTTTGAATTATTAGAGATGACACACCTATAAAATAATTTTAAATTAAGATTAAAAATTCTTAAAATTTATTTTAGAATCTAGCAAGTACTCTCTAGAAGATTTATCTATTAAATTTAAATTCTATACTTAATAATAAAATTCTAAAAAATTAAATTTATAAATTATTAGATTTATTTTTTATTAATTTAATTTAGCGTATAAAAGATTACAAATTTAAATATTTAAAGAGCTTTCTTTAAGATATTATTACCACTATTAAAAAGGAATAAATAATAATAGAAATTCTTAATCTATAAAATTATAGTTTAATTTAGTACCAGATAACTTATATAACTAAAAAATAACTAACTTAAAAATATATTTATTATTAGATTAGAATGAATTCCCACTCATCCCTTCTTTAGATATATTAGTTTCTACATATTAGAACTTTATAGGATTAAAATATATTAATAAAAATATTTATTAAAAAGTAGTAATTAGATAGTAAAAAATTATGTATTTATATAAGTTTAATTAAATTTCCTTAGACTTTTATTTATTAACTGCTCCACGGACTAAAGAAATAAGAAATAATATAATATAAAAATAGTCTTAAATGAATCATTAATAAAAATTATAGAATCTTAGAAAGCTTTAAATATTATAATAACTTCTAAATAATAGTTATAAAAAAAATCATTTACTTACTAAAATTCTATAGATATATTATCAGTATTAGTAATATATTCTAGAAATTTAACTTGGGATTAGTAAAATAAGTATTTTAATAGTTTTATATTAAGTTTAATCTCTCGGAGTCTTTCTAGTATTTAATAAATATATTTTATATAGAATTCTTATGTAGTAAAAAAATAAGAATATTATTTAGATATAATATGTAAAAGTTATCAAAAAGCTTATAAAATATGATATATATATAATTTCTAAAAATTACTAGAGTATTAGTTGATTTAAATAATATAATTATATATTCAAAATAATTAAATTAAATATAGAAAATTATCTTCTATTTATTCCCTTCTTTAATATTAAATTTTAAAAATTATTTACTATTTAAAACTCTGTTAAGAATCTCTGAAATAAAAGATAAAAAATAATAATTTTTAATATAGATTTTATTTAAATCTTTATAATTCATATAGAAATATAAATTATTATTTTTTTTAAATATAAAAAGGATAGGAGCCTCCATAAAACTTTTAAAAAATTATATTTAATTTAATTTTAGATTTTCTTTAATATATTTTTTAAGACTTTTAGTTCGGCTTCTGAAAAAGAATATATAGGATTATATAGAGATATTTATTAAATTTAAGATTAATAATATGGTCTGTAAGGCTATAAAAGATAATTATTTAAAATATTTATAAAACAATATTTCAAAATTAAATAGAGTTTTATTAGTATTATATCTAGAATTAATAATAAATTATAAAATCTTTCCTCAAGTAGCTAAATATTCTTAAAAACCTTAATAATAATATAAATTTTTATTAAGTTTTAAATTATTTTAATAAATTTAATAGTAAAAAGAAAAAAATTAATAATATATTAAACTACTACAGGTGATTCTATATTAGTAAAATAATATATAAATCTTAAAATATAATTATTAATAATAAAATAAAATTATTATTTAATTAAAGATTTCTATCAATTCTTATACAGTATTATTTAAAAGTTTAAATATTTCTTTATAAATTAGTAATAATAATAGATACTTTCTATATATTATAAGTAAAAATATTAAATTAATTAATTATTTTAATTCTAGGTACAGTAACTAGGGTATATTAAAATTTATAAATTTTAATAAATTAATAATTAATAATATTTATTTTAATATAATTATTTAAATTTGTAAAAGCTTCAAGATTATTTTAAATAAAAATAAGAATATAAAAATAATATTTTATAAATAATCTTCCTTATAGATAAAAAAGTTAAAATTATAAGATCTATTTTAATTTTTTTATTTTTTTCTTGGACTTTGATAAGAATTAATAAATTTTAATAAATTAAATTTTCTTATTTTTAGTAAAATAATAGTTTGTAAATTTTAGATATTATTATATATAAATAAATACTTATTTAGTTTTTTTAATAGAATTTTCTTTATAGTTTAGAGTATTATCTTTAATAGGTCTATTATTATAATGATTTAAAATCTACTTATATAGTCTATAACTATGAAACTAATCATTATTTTATTTATATTTCTTTCTATTATTCTACAATTTATAGTAATAGATAATAATAAATATTATTTTATCTTATTCCTTAAGTAGGTACAGACTATATCTTTAAATATAATAATTTAAATCTAGTAATAGTTTAGTAAAATATAATAAAACTTTTTTTTCTCTATCTAACAGGTAAAATACTGCTTTAAAATATTAAAGCAAGTATAAAATTCTTTTAAATCTTAGCTATATTACTAATAAGCTTATTTAAATTAAGCCATAGTATCTAACTGGGGAATAATAATATTTTAAATTAAAATAAGAATCTAGTTTTTAAATTAGAGTTATACTTTTTTTAAGTAATTATCTTTTTTTAGAATCTTATTATCAGTAAAATAATACTATCTCTATTTATATAGTAGATTTATATAGCTAATAGTGATAAGAATCTTTATATTTTTTAGTAAGATATTTTTAGAAGTCTTCTAGAATATATATTGTAAATTAGTAATCTATTTTGGATATTTTTAAATATTAAAATCTAATATAAATTGCAAGATATTTTTAAACTTAATTTCTTTTTTCTTTTTATTAGATTCAGGGAAGGATTAATAATATTTAAATAAAATTTTATTAGAAAAAATTTTTTCTAAAAATAGAGTATTTTTTATTATAAATTATTAGCTTGCTCCAACCAATAAATATAATTTTTTAATTATTAGATTTCTTTAATAATAAGAATAATATTTAATAATAATTTTGAGTTAGTTTGATTACAGACTGCTTTTATTTTTTATAATTTTTAAAAGGTGGTATCTTTCTTCTATAATTAAAGAAAAAGAATCAGAATATAATAGGATCTACTTATTAAAGTAAAAGGCTTGTTAACTAGATAAGAAACTAGCCATTAAATATATAGGATTTTAATAATAACTAAGATTCTGACTAGATGTTAAACTGGCTACTAGTCAAACTATATATAGATTAATAGATAAAACATAGCTTAAGATTATAGACAGGATTTAGGAGATAGATAGCTTTTAACTATATTTAAAATCACATGCTAGTAATAAGACTTAATAATATTTTTTCTTTCTGATTTTAAGAATTATATTATAATAGTATTCTCCTCGTCTTTAAGCTAAATTCCTATAAAATAAAGATTAGAATTTATATAAATAATAATAATAAAGGTTTTTAATAATGTAGCAGATATTGTCTAAATATTCTATTAATATAATAATAAAATTAATATATTTTATCTATTTAATAAGATATACGAGTTAAGAGTAGTCTTATCTTTAATAATTCTAAAAGAAATTTAATATATTTTTAATCTTTTATTCCTCGAATCTGTTAACCTTAATATAAGAAGAAAAAGACTAGTATTAATCTGATAATAGATTATTATTAATAAGAATAAGCAAGTTTATATTAAATACTATATAGATTTTTATACTCAGTAGACATTTTAAATAGTATATATATTATATAAAAATTTGAAATATTTTAATAAGTTTCTTATGATATTACAGGATCTTAATAAATTAAATATTTAATTAAATTTTTTAAATTTTTCAGAATCTTTAGCTGGAATAATATCTCTTATTTATTTATTTTATATATTTAATTTAAGTTATAGCTATCTTAGCTCTTATAAATTCTATAATAATATATATTTTTATAATTAATTACTCTAAATTTTTAATAGTAAGTTAATTAAAGATAAATATAGATTTAAATTCTATTTATAAATAGAAGCTGTAGTTAGCAAAAAATAATATATAGTTTTAATAATATTAAATTATATAATATTTAAAATAAATTTAGCTAGAGGGAGCTAAATACTCTAGTTATTTTATAAATAATTAATATAAATATAAAGATATTATTCTAATATAATATTTATCTATTCTATTTAGTTATCAGTCTTGGGATAATAAGTAGTTAATATTTAATTAATAATATTTAGATATTAGATTAAATATTTTTAAAATTTAATTATAAATTAAGAGCCTCAATCAGAGCTGATAGAGACTATAAAATAAAAAAGATTATATAATTTCTATATATTATATATATATATTATAGCTACTCTAGTGGCGTTAATACTGGAGTTATAAAATATTAAAGATTTTATTTTAATAAATTTATTAATAATTATTAGTATAGTATCATATTCTTAACTCTTAGATAAATATATAATAAAATTTATAGATATATTCTATTAAATACACTTAGAGACTAGTAAGAGTTAAAAAGTTTTTATCTAGATTTTTAAAATAAAATAATATAATAATAAATATAATAATTCTTTATCTATTATTCTATGTAATAGTAAAGATTAGGCTAATAATATTTTTAAATTAAAAATTTATATATATAAAAATCTTCTGGGATATTCCAAGGATAATTTATTATATACTAATTAAATTAATTCAGCTTTTAATTTATCGTAGTTAAAGATTTAAAAATAGTTTTTATAAAAAATCGACCTTTTCTTTTTTTATAAAAAATTAAAAAAATATATAAATAATAATCTTTATTAATTATTAGTATCTTTAATATAATTTATATTTATTTATTTTTTTTATAAATATTTTATAAAATAATTTAGATTTCTGGTGATAGTTATAACTTTTATTTATTTTTAGAGATAATACTTTTTTAAAAATTAGATTATTAAGATTAAAGTATTCCTGGAGAAGCCTTCCTTAAATTCTTTTTATATAAATAGTTATTTAAGATCTAAGGATATTCTATATTTATTAAATATAGGATTTTCCTCAGTAATTCTAATTAAAAATAATTCATATTTATTTATTTCAGGATCGTCCTTAGTAGTTTTAATTAAAGATATTCTATATGTATTTAATATAAGATCTTTTTTAGGAGTTCTAGATTTAAGGTTCTTTTTATTCTAGATGGATAAACAAGTAGAATGTAGATTCTTTTATTTTATTTTAATCTAATTTTTATATTACAATTATTTATCTTTCTTTTTTAAAAGATTTTCTAACCTTCTGGTTAGACTATTAGGCTTAATTCTATAATATCTAGAATAGTATATGAATTAAAATTAAAATATAAGAAAAACTATAATTATTAGGCTTAATAGTGGTTCAAGAGTTTAGTTAATATAAAGTATTTTAAATTATAATAATCAGTAATAACTTAGATTAAGAATAAAATTTCTTTAAATTTAAGATAGTATTTCTCAAAGTAGTAGATAATTATCAATAACTTCTTATTATAAATTTTCTAATTATATTCAGTTAAAAAGTATTTCTTAAAGAAAAGGACTATAGAATATAATATCTATTTTTATTATACTAAGATAAAACTCTAGCGGAGATATAATTTAAGATACTAATTTTTAATATTATTTTTAAGTCTAATCAAATAGCTGGAGTACTAGTGTGACGGCAGCTCTGTTTAGAAGCACGTGACTATATTTATTTTATTAGTTTTACTGTCATTTACTATTATTTTTTTTTAAGTAAGTGTTTATAATACTTCTTATTTTTCTTTTTTTTCTTCTTATATTCAAAGTTTTAGAGTAGGCAGTATCAATATAATCTTATTTTATTATATTAAATAACTATCTTCTGACTTTAAATATTATTCTTCATTCTTTTTTTACTATTATATATAACTAACTTCTATTAAGCTATTAGCAGTCTTTACCCTATGTTCCTAGTAAGGCTTAACAGCTAAAAGATAACTGACTAACTAAATAAAATAATTAAAGAAAATACCTAGACTTCTAGTCTTAAGGATAACTAGTAATTTTCTATAATACTATCTAATGAACCAGACTAAAAAAATGGATTTAATTAAATTAAATTTAATATCTAATATAAGAGAGACCTAAAGCGGACTTTTAAAATTCCTTTAAAAACTTTTAGTAATCTAGAGACTAAAGAGACAACCTTCTTAATAAATAAAATTAATAAAATTAAGAAATAAATACACTTACTTAGAAATAAAATAATATTATTAAAAAATA